ATTTGTATATAATACGAACTTCAATATCAAATGGGAAGAGTACATCAGTGATCTGTTTTAGAAATGTTATTGTATAAATTGATGAACGATAGCATTTATAATATTAAGATTGAACTTTGAATCTATAGTTATGGTACTGTAAATACCCAATTGGAAATAACTATTGATTATAACTCAATTATATAGAGAACTAAATTCCTAAATAAGGAAGTATCGTAAATAATTGAACGTAAAATTGATAAAACGCGATCTGGAAAAAAATATAGAGACCCTAACTACTCTAAACAATGGAATAATATTTTTGTGATATGGGTCTCAAAACCGCGAAATATAGAAACACCCGAAAAAGTCGATGTACAGGTGAGAAAAGCATTTACCACGCAGGAATCTCACGCAGATCCGGTTTTTAAACCATTTATTACCAGCTATTAATATCAAATATTTCCAAAAAGCGGATTGTCTAAGAAAAAATTTTACTACATGCAAAACTGGTAGTATATGCCTAAAGGTAACACTATGCCTAATAATCAGAAATAGAAATGATCTGTGATGACTGATATCTGAACTATTAGAAAGCAAGCGGTTAGAATTGCTGCCAGTAGCACTATGACTGATCAACAGAAGTAGAAGTGATCTCTTTATCTTGGTGACTAAAATGCCTGATATCTGACTTATTGGAAAGCACGCGGGCAAATTTATTTCCATTGTGAGAATCACTCATATAAAAAAGATGATCTATCTTTCATTTTTTCTCTACAATTCTTTGATTGGAGTCTTACTTCAGTTAAACTGCGCTTTAATAATCTTTGAGCTTTAGCGGATATAAGTATTAATGAACTTTAGAGTTTCATAAATCGCATCGACTGCATCTAATAAAGCTGTTTATGTAAACAACCAAACAATCAGTTGGTAACAAGTATGTATTAACTAAATAGTAGAAAGCGCTAATTGGACTCATGGAGCGTTTCTAGTTATACCATAAATAATCAAGCAATCATAACGCGGATGTGATAACAAAGCGATGTGAAACTATTAATTAAATTCAATTTTGGCCACCAATTCCACCCATATTAGTACGCAGTCGAAATAATATTAAACATATAATCGTTCAAGTAGTCTTACTAGGTTAATAGTCTATTATATAATATTTAGGTATATATCATATTGTCTATTTTGAGTGCTTTGGAATCTAGAAAAAAGGATATGTGTTATTAAGCACTAGTAAGTTTGCCAATCTTATTAAGTGAATACAAGAGTGCAATCATTAATCTCATCACAAGGATGATAAAGTCAGAAATCACTTTATCGCGTATAAACTTGAAAAGATTACAAATATTGGTCGCTGAAAGGATCGCTTCATTGTCGGCTCACTAGAGTGTATTGATTCATTGGCAAGAATCTAGTAAAATAATTCGGGTATGCTTTTGGACATATGTATCTAAGCTGAAATAGATTATGTTGCCCATTTTATTATAGTCGATTGAAGTACATCATTACGGTTATCGCTACAAATTGTGTTACTTCCTTTTTATTATTTGGACATTTTTCACTTATGAACAAATAAATGCTGAAAGTTTAAAAGAGCCGTTTAAATCAAACTCGATCGTCGTTAAACTCTTTTCCACAGCCCACCCCAATCCCTTACTCACTACTTCAACGAGAATAGTTGAATCTCCTCGCATGTACAATTGTGGCTATCGTAACCCGCTCCACAGAGTACACTCGTAGGGAATCCCAGTCTGTTACAAATGCCTATCATTGTCTATAATTAATGATCACTATATTCTCACTCCTAACTTAGATAAATTTGAAAACTCAAATACTAAGTTTCTAATATCTTTCATTACTGTTTACTGGAATATGACTTCAGTCAGATGTATTTCACAGTCTGATTGCTGAGGTCTTCTTAACTCACTCATAGGAGGTAGTTTTAGTGGGTTCAAGTCTCACACTGTTAATGGTTTCTACTTACCGCAAAAATAAGAGCCATTTAAATTTATAATTTTTAGCAGATATTAGTTAACTAGAAAGGATTATTCACTTGTAGTAAACAATGAGAGCGATCTATGGTATTTAAGGTTAAATTCGGCACAAATTAACATTAATCAACTAATACTAAATACTTACTTGCTTAATTAATTTAGGAACACATTACTAACAGGTCCAATACATAAAAATATGAAGTGCAACATAGATTTATTTAGTTATGAATGATGTGCATGTATACCTATATATTAAGAATTTGTACATTTTAATTTTTACAATTATATCTTAAGTGTTTTTTAGAACAGCAAATATCTGAAAAGAAAAACTCAGCACCTGTACCAAGAATAGTATAATTTGTGGTAAGAGTCAACAACAATAGAGGGCTTATTTACGTACTTGCTTCAACGTCACCAGATTAACTTCAGCTATGCCAGATATATTTAAAACAACTGGTCGTCTTGTTACCATCAACATTAGTAAAACCATCTTCTTATATTCCAAAGAACTTCGTAACCAGTTTTGTGTGCAGAGAGCATCGAACATTTTAGAACTCTAGAAAATTTGGAGAATATACCGGAAACAATATTTACATTAAAATAAACTCTTACTGTGTCCATGAGTAAATTTCCAAAGTAGCAAATTATTATTACTTGTTTCATTTCGAATCCCATTAATAGAATTATTGTGAAAGCTATAAACAAAGATTTCTCATTCAATAATCTGTAGGTGGTGAAACACAAAATAAACGAAGAGGACATCAAACTAAGTAGCACCGAAGGTGTAAATATTCTGTCGATTTTCTTAACAAGTCTAAAAGTATTTTCTTCATTAGTAATAGAAGTATTTCCGTAATTTTAGTTATAAATATTTATTGTTACCGTAACACAATTTGATGCTCTTTAATAATATTTTTTAATTGAAAAACACTCTCTGGATCCTCTGGATTTATTTCTGATATTTTTTTACATAGTACATCATAATGCATGCAAAACTGTAAAATGCAACCTAAAAGGCATAAGTCGGGGTTTAAGAGCGAAATTGATATAAAAAGTCCCAATATAATTTCGAACAAATAATAGAAAGCATATCCAAGATAAGTTTCATGAATATCCATGGGATACCACATTTTAAATGGAGTCATGTATAAGAAATGACCATATCTCCATAGAGCATAACATGATAATATAAATGGATAGATGACGAATAGAGTAAACACATATTTAAAAAAGATCCATAGAAACTTTTCAACCTTCAAGTATATTTTCAAATACGTCGATAGACGGTATTTCTTCTCGAGTTCTGCGTGAGGATAAATTGTCTTTAATTTTATGTAACAATTACCAAGTGATGACCGATTATACATTAAAGAGAGCATTTTGCAGAAACCAACAATGAAATAATTTGTATTAATGACGACCTCTGAAATTTCTGCAAAATTCTTATCACACAGAAACAGTGAACATACTAGTTGTATTAAGACAATTGAGCTACCCAATAGAGTAATTCCTTTTAGTATTTTATTATGAGGTTTGTCCTTTTCAAAAGTAATGCCCATGAATTTAAATAATTTCATAGGTCTATTTATGTACCGATCGAAATTTTTTTCGCGATGTTTTATTATCAATGCGTTCATCTTAGCCGACTGAAGAAATCTAATAAATTGTCTCTATATATATGGGGTGTGATTCTATACAATTTAGTTTATAGAAATTAATTTGCTTATAAAACCATTTTTAAAGGTAATTATATTTAATAGAAACCACAACCGTTTAAAAAGAAAATGGTTTAACTGTTTTAAAATCGTTTCAGTAAAATATAAGTGATGACCTTCAAGTGGTTAGTACATTTAAACTTCAAGATTTGCGGTCGTAATAAGAATTAGTAAACATACCTATTTACCAATGGGAAAATAATTATATATCTCTAATACAATAATAGAAAATCGAATAATCACATTCTGAATTATTAAGTCTGAAAGATATTAGAGAAGAATATAAATATAATACAGATTACATACATATATAATAAATACTGATATTCGACTTAATGGGATAAAGTGTTTTCATTGTAAAGATATTAGTCTTGTTGTATGTGTGGTCACTGGGCATAGCCGGTTAGGAAACCAAGCTAGAAAATTGAATCTTTGTTTTAATTATTCCTTTCGCAATTGTGGAGAGAACGATGGAAGTGCGTTACAATTGCTTTGTTATTGCCCTTTGTATGTGCAGTACCGTTTTACTATTTTAATGGCCTCTCTTTTTGAGGATCTTGGTCAAGTCCGGAATCTCCTACCAATAAGCATTTTAAGCTTTGCTAAAGGTTTTAGATGGTTTTTAATCCTCTGAATTTTCTCTATACTGCGACAGAAAGGGCTAATATTCCTGAGTATACCTTTTGAATCGCCACCATAGTCTAACCCAACCTAATGATTATGAAGATCAGTTCATTCATATAAAGAAAAGTTCATTGCAAAATAGACCTTTCTCAGGAAAAACAAAAATACTGTGGAGATAGATTTAAGCCAATATAGAATCATACAATACATATCAAAAATAGACCTTTTGAGAACATTATCTTAAATAGACAAGAACAGGCGTCTAATTTCGTTTTCTAATGTGCGTTCATTTTGGTATGGCTGCAAAACTTTTATGGATTTCCAAAATGATATTTGACATCCCTTGTACCACAGTTTGATATATTAAAGATTTTTTTTAACTTCTTGGTATGGAATGAGGATTTACAAAAGAAGACATTTTATTATATGCTTTCAATACTAACCAATATGCAGGATGTTAAAGAAAAATCTATGCAAAAATTATCGTCTGTCAAACATAATTCAATTTTTTATTTTCAATTGAAGCAATCCTTTACATTTTATTATAATATAATTTTTTCAAATAATCTCTAGACTTACGACAGATTCCAATTAAAAACAAATTATTTACAAGTCAAATAAAGTATATTAGATATATGTATAATATCATTTATACGAAATTACAAATATTAAATTCAAATCTTAGATATTCTTTAGAACAGCAAATACCTGAAAAGCGAAACTCAGCACCTGTACCAAGTGAAGAGCCATTTATATATTTAGTCAACATCATTAATAGAGAGTTTATTTACGTACTTGTTTTAATGTCACTAGATTAACTTCAGCTATGCCGGATATATTCAAAGTGACTGGTCGTCTTGTTACCATCAACATTAGTAAAACCATCTTCTTATATTCCAAAGAACTTCGTAACCAGTTTTGTGTACAGAGAGCATCGAACATCTTAGAACTCTGAAAGATAAGAAACTATAAAATATAGAGAATTCATTGAAAACGGAATTATTAATAAAGTAGATCATTACGTTGTCCATGAGTAAATTTCCGATGTAGCAAATTATAACCACTTCCTTCATTTCGAAACCAAGTATTAAAATTGAAAGGGAAACTAAAAGTAAAGACTTCTCATTTAATAATCTGAAGGTAGTAAAACACAAAATAAACGAAGAGGACATCAAACTAAGTAACACCGAAGGAGAAAATATTCCGTCGATTTTCTTAACTAGTCTGAAATATTTTAGTTTATTTATAATGGATAAATATTGTAGATATATATACTAAATGATTACCGTAACAGAATTTGATGCTCCTTAATAATGTTTTTCAGTTGACAAACACAGTCTGGATCCTCTGGATTAATTTCTGATATCTTTTGGCATAAAATATCATAATGCATACAAAACTGTAAAATACAACCCAAAAAGCATAGATCGGAGCTAAGGATCGAAATTGAATTGAAGAATCCAATAATGGTTTCGAACAAATAATACAAAATATATCCAGGATAAGTTTTATGAACATCTATGGGATACCACAGTTTAAACGGAGTTATATGTAAAAAATTATCGTATCTCCAGAAGGAGTAACATGATAATATAAACGGATAACCGAAAAATATAATAAAAAGATATTTCAAAAATATCCATAGAAACTTTTCAATCTTTAGGTATGTTCTTAAATACTTCGATAGATGATATCTCTTCTCAACTTCTGTATAAGGATAAATTGTCTTTAATTGTATATAACAATTACCAAGTGATGACCGATTATATATTAAAAATAGCATTTTGCATAAACCAACAGTTAAATAATTTATATTACTGACGACATCTGAAATTTCTGCAAAGTTTTTATCACACAGAAGCAGTGCACATACTAGCTGTATTAAGATAACTGAGCAGCCCAATAAATAAAATCCTTTTAATATATTATTGTGAAGTTGATCCTTCTCAAAAGTTATGCCCAAGAATTTAAATAATTTCATAGTGCCATTTATGTACCGATCGAAATTTTTTTCGCGATGATTCACTATTAATGCGTTCATCTTGATTGACTACAGAAAAAGTTCAAGAGTTCAAGATACGTACAGTGTTTAGTTTATTTGTTTTGATTCCAGATAACTGTATTTATATAGAAATTAGAAGGGACTCTGATTATAGTTAATCGAAACCACAAATGTTTATACAAAGCTCTAAGCAAAAATCCTTAAAGTACTTAATTGTCTGGGAAGAGAATTGTAAAATTCAGGAATGATTTTTTCAATTAATTAATAATTATATTCTCAATATCCTTGATAAATAGATAGCTTTAAGTTTTGTGGTTTGATTTAAGTTGACGGTTCGTACATCAGGTAAAAACCCCTATAGTTTATTTAGCTATAGACTAACGAGACTGAAAATTCGTTTTGAGTTTAGTTCGTTTTAAACTAAGAAGAACGGCTGTTACACCAGAAAACATCGATGCAGTGAGAGAAATGATTTAGATTAATTAGTGTGTTACATTCTGGGAGATAGAACCATCCTTGGGCACTTGCGCGACCAGCACACATTCAATTTTACAAATACATTTAGCGGTCAAATTTGTTTCAGTTGGATTCTCCATAGTTTGATAATCGCGCAAAAGAAGATACGTGTTGACTGGGGCAAGAAAATGCTAAAAAATACAGCTGAGGTAGCTCAAAACACGTCTAAGGTAACGAGATAGAATATGATAACACTGCAATCCACTATTTGGGTTTAAAACTCGTTAAAAATTGTACTTGAACAAAGTAAATCAAAGCAAATTATCGCATGTTTCTTTATAAAAGCCGGTCATGTCGCAATTGTAGCACTTGAACAACGTAGAACGATCAATTCTGAGTGGTATACAACCATTTGTTTTCCGGAAGTCGAATTGATGGATCATGCGCCGTATAGTTCGGACACGCACCCAATAACTTGTTGTTGCCAAACATCAAGAAAAAATACGTGATGAGTGTTTTTTTACGCCCGGACAGGCCGTTGAGACATTTAAAACTTTGGTTTTGGAGACACGAACTTCAGAGTAGCAAAACTACTTCGAAAATTGAATCAATCGGATGTAAAAATGTATTGGTCATCATTGAGAATACTTCGAAAAACAATAAAACTATTTTCACTGAGTAACCCCTGTGTTTTCATTGTTCGGTGCAAGACTTAAAAGCAGCTGACGTACTATTAGTAAATAAAAAAGTCCTCACACCAGTTTGGTAAGTCGTCAGTAGCTTTTACTGTTTGGATAGCATATATTATCATACCGAACATATTCTCCAAATTTTACATATATATTAAATATTATTTTACAGCTTTAGAATTTTGCTTAAAAGTTTTATCCAAACAAGTTAGGAGCAGTTAAAATGAGCTCATCAGCTCATATATGAATGTAGACTACAGTAAGGCATGGATACAGGCTGAATCTAGCTTATCAAAACATATTTAGATCGAAGGAAAGACACTGGAATATTTTCTATGTTATTATACAAACGAGTCTAGTTCCAGACTTCTAAGCGTCCCATTCTCTAACTTAGCCCACGATTTTTTTGAGCTTAGAATTTGTTTTCATGAATGCATCTCGCTCTTTAAAATTAAGAGTATTGTGGAATCAAAAGTTATTCCAGCTAATTGTGGAGGATTCGTCCCACTTCACTTTCTTCCACTTTTATTGGGGGATTAAACCCATTTATTTCGATGTATTCAATTTCGTAAATCCATTGCATCCATTGGTGAAAGACAACTCTGCTGTCATTTCATAATTTTTTAGATAATTTTGAAAGAATTCTGTCTATAGAACTAACAAAATGCGTGACTTAGGTAGGCACAAATCAAAACATGTACAATTTATTGATTAAAATTAAATATTATAGAAAAATATATCCTATTTCCGTAACCACATAAATAATTATTCCCTTATTTGCAAAGAAACCACAAATTGTGCGTAAATGTCACAATCATTATATGTAACTTATTTTCCATTAAGTAATTTTCCAATAATTACTTAATTAATTAATTGCCTGTGAAAAACTATTTGGACCACTAACCACTAATTCAAATTTGCATAATAAAAGAAGATGCGTTGACTTGTGCTAGAAGAAATAGGTGACCTTATTTATAGATTAAATGCGTAGATAATTTAAGTAAATGTATTGAAAACCAATTTTATATAAAAATATAAGGAAAAGTAATTATGTGGATTAAGATCATTTTACACAAATTTTGTTTAATACTGGATTTACAAAAGAGTTTTGTTTGTAATTTAAGCTGTCAAAAAAATTATTTTGCATTGAAAGCATAACAACTGACAGCTAGAATTACGTACATGACAGCTAAAATTATAAACCAAACTCTCGTATGAAGTCATTATAAAAATATTTTTTATTATTTATAAATAATTAATAAAAAATATTTAATTATAAAATGTATATAATAAATAAATAAAATTCTAATTAAAATAATAAATAAAAAAAATTTAATTATTTATGTATTGGCAAATGAACGCTGACTCTGAGCTTCAAATTTGGCAGGGTACGAGTTTGATTCCTGGTCCTTGCATTCTCAAAAAAGTTATTAACGAATAATTAAATACAAGAATTATTTCCGAGACCACTGATGATGGGTAGTTGGCAAAATTTGAAACAGCAGTCAAAAATTCAATTAATTAAAATAATATAAAAAGAATTTTTGTTGTTGTAGTTCACTATTTTTCGAAATAACTCTTTATTAAATTTATTTATAAATAAAGTAAAATTAATTAGTTAATATAAGTGGTTCATATAAAAAAATTCGAAAAATACACATTTAAATAGTAGAAAAGTCCCGAACTTAAGATATATAAGCACAATTTTTTTTTTTTGGAATAAATGGACTTTATTCACCAATATAATTTTCGTGTTATCATCCGTCTTAAATATGCTGTAAGAATGCTTTAACTATGCCTATATACGAGTAGACTCAACGCCATCTATTAATCTGTGTTTTGCCTGTGAGTATTAACTAGTCTATCATTGTGGTGTCTAAATTAATATATTAGTTATCACAGAAGTTTCCCAGAATATTCCACTTTTATACTATACATTTAAGTATTGGCATACCTATGAGGACGGGTTGTACCGAGTGATATTATTTTTCGTCTTGCCATCATAGAAGGATGTGTCTCCATCTATGAGACACATCTATACTCATTTATGGAAGAATCTGTTTATAGTTCAATAATTGTGCAATAATAATATAGATTATCAAATTTGATTTTGAACGTCAGTTATGACGAAATAAACTATTCTTAATATAAACTATTGTCTTCAATGGAGAGGTTTTTCGAACAGTAGTGAATTTCAACAACAAAATTTTACTACTTTTAATTAATTGAATTTTTATCCACATCACACCGTTATTTTGAATATTGTCAAATACCCATGACTGGTCTTTGTGGAATTATTGCACATAAGTATATTATTTAATTATTTGTAAATAATTTTTATGAGACTGTAAGTACCAAAAGTTGAATTTGTACTCTGCCTAATTTGAAGCTCAGAGTCAGCGCACCTTAACCAATAGATCTAAAGCCGTAATTGACTTGTATGTTCTAACTTGAAGTTTTTATTTATTTGCTGTAAAAGTTTATTAACAAACTCACTTGCAGTATTATATCAGAACGAAATTGTGAACCAATTATAGAATAATTAAATCAATAGTTATTTTAAATTACTAAACTTCATTGATTATCAAAAATATACATAATATAAGTTTAATGTGAATTGTTTATATAGTACGATAAAAACCTTTTGAGTGGATATTCGTGTTTCTATTCATTTCTTTCTATATATATATATATATATATATATGGGATTCTGTTGTTCCATATTAGGATAATAAAATATTGATTTAAGAAAAATCGTCAAAGAAAAGAAGAATTCATTTAAAAAGGGGTATCTGTAATGTTAATTCTCTTTTTAAAGCTTTACCAATAAAATTCTCTCCATAAAATATTGATTAGATATTCCCAATTCTCAAATACGAAAAAACTTTCTGTCTATATGCAAATATCGATAGACAAGTTGATATTGTTTAAATAGGAAGAAATTGATATACCCTTTATAGAGTTATATACCACTATGTTAGTTTTATTGGTGACTGTTTAATGTTTATTCAGAACACATGCCAGAAATTTGACTATTCTTATTAATCGTGCGTCCAAATCTCAATCAATTTGGCGGTTCTGTAAAATTTTAAAACCAGTCTTTTCTCCTTATGTTGAAGATACAGCTTAAGTAACCTATTGTGTTTGCTGATTTATTGCTTGAACTTAACGAATAAATTATTTAATTAACATTATAAAGAAATATTGAGTACCTGCCTATTAAAAAAGGCGAGTAGTTTTAATTGAGATAAAATATTCTTAACGTGTAAACTTTAAAAGGCTTATGATATATTAAAAATTATATCTCAATATCGCTAGCGTCGCTATCGGTCATCAGATGTGTTTAATAATTACCACAATATTGTATAAATTCCGATAATTATAATTGCATGAGAAAAAGATTGCTCATTGATCAATAATGTATAGTACTATATTCACTTCTACGATTCTCTATTGTGCTGTGTTGGTAGATCTATGATCCTACGCACATTCAATGATTAGAAAGTGAAAAAAAATCTTGTATGGAAAATAAATATACTGCATTGACATTTATATTGTGCTATTGTATAGAATAATATTGTATAGTTATATAGAATAACACTGTGCACACGCTACATAGGTGGTAATTTGATTCTTAAGAGGGAAAATCTGGAATCAAACTTAACTGAGTTAGTAGTAATTTATACACGAGCAAAGAAAAGAGCGCTAGTATGAAAGAAAAGGAAAGGAAAATTACGCTAGTAGGTAATTTGATTCTTAAGAGGGAAAATCTGAAATAAGACTTAACTGTGTTAATAGTAATTTATATACGAACAAAAAAAGAGCGCTAGTAGGAAAGATAAGGGGTACAGTACAGTTTGTGGTTCCTTCAACAGATTGTACAATAAAATAACAAATGTTCGTCTAAGGAAAGATGGGCGAAGAATCGTCTTGCTTTTCATGTGTATTATATAGTAATGTACAAAAATTTCTTAAAGCCTTAAGTGTGGCATATATTAAAAGGTTGAGAAGCAATAGTAAAGTCAAAATCCTATTTCCAAATATACTTCTAGGATATATTTGGTATATTTCCGGTTAAAGAAAAAACAATGCAAATTAAGTAATTGGTTTTATTGACAACATTAAAGCCATGTGATAGTTATAAAATGCATTAACTGTAGTTAAATTTTCAAATTTTATTTTTACCTTTATTGCTAACATAAAGCAAATACAGAAAATATCGTATAAGTCCATTTATACTCTTTTGAGAACAGCGAATACCTTATATGAAATCGTAAGAACCTGTAAGGAAATCGTATCTTAGAAAGATACTTACTTTTATCTAGAAAAAATAAAAATTGTCTTACTCCTTTCAATGTTTCCATTGAAATGTTCGAAATGCCTACAACATTCAATGTGAACGGACGTTGGGTGCACATCATCATAAATAAAACAATTTTTTTATACTTCAAGGAACCATCCACCCAGTTGTGCATGTAAAGTACATGACAAATTTGTGAGCTCTGTAATTATTATATGATATATATCTAATTAATTCATTAAAAATAAAAAAAAGTATTTATTACCGCATCAATTAGCTTTTGTCCAAAGTAACAAATCAGCACAACTTGTTTCATTTCATAGACAATTAATACGAAAGCTTTAAAGATCCCGATAAACGCGGTCTCATCTAACACTTGATAAGTACAGAAACAGAGTATAAAAGAGGACGACAAGAGGCTGAATATTATAGAAGGTGAAAATAAATTATCGAAATCCTTTGCAAGTCTAAGGAAATAAGTTTAAAGAAGAATTTTGTTAGGATAAGTAGATACTTTAAAGATTATATGCAGTAAGAATTTCAAAATATATATTTGATTTCTTATTATCCTGCAGCCAACACAGAATATAGCATATAATCAGTACACAGTGTAAGAGTACTATCCAATAAAAGAGATTTTATCTCTTAGATTTCTATTGCATCCATATTTTAATTATGTCAATGGAATTCTTATTATACACAATATTATCTTTAAAATATATATTAGTCTTTTAATTATCTTGAAGCCAATATATAGTATTTATAATATCAGTGCAAGTACTATAAAATAAAAATATTTTTGATTTTTCTTTGATCCATATTTTAAGAGTGCCCATCGTTATTATTATATACGATATTAACTTTGAAATGTATATTTGCCTTCTAATTATTTTGAAGCCAAAATATTATTTTTATAATATCAGTGCATTTGCAAAAGTACTACAAAATAGAAATCTCTTTGATTTTTATTGGATCCATCAGTTTATTGTTTCTCCCATAAAATTCTTAGCACTTGCTTTTTTAATCCAAAATGGGATCAATTATTTTTTGTGACAGATTTTATAGGTTTTAAATAATAGTTATGACATTTTTGTCCTTTCTAATATTTGGTCTTAGAATATATATCCCTATTATGAAAATACTGAGATATATACTGAGATATGTATATATATATTATATATATATATACAATTAATATTGAATAGCAAATGGTTCTATATTAACTCTATTTTTATACCTCAGTATGACATTATGTTGTTTGGCGATATTCACTAACTTATTTAGACTTTCATTTTCCTTTGGTTTTAGTTCCAAAATTTTTTGCGATAATAAGTCAAAATGCAGACAGAGTATAGATACAACGCTTACAAGACAAATATCGCAGGATAATGTTGATATTACCATCAGAAAATCTGTGCAAGACTCTAAAATGAAATAGATGATGTATTCCAAAAAGCTTTCGTTTAGAGGTACTGGAAAGACAGTAGGCATTTGCATTAAATATAAATATTTTCCATTGTGCCACCAATGAACTACTGAAGCGATAACCGATGAAAAATTAAAAATTATGAATGAGGCGATCATAGATAAGCACAGAAATTTTTCTACTTTTATATATAAATTCAAATGTTTTGACAAATTGAATTTCTTCTCCACTTCCTTAGTTGGATGAATTAGATTGATGGTCTCAAAACATTTTGCCATATTTAACCGATTATAGAGCAAAAAAATTATTTTACACAGTGCTAAACTAAAGTAATTGGTGAACATGACAGATACTGTATCCTCGACCAAAGTCTTATCACTCGTTATTAGATAAACGATGACATGCACAAACATCACTGATAATAGCACTAGGATCAAATATGGAATCGCTTCAATGTAACGATTCGTATGCGATCGGGACTGCAACTTAATCCCCAATAGATTTATAAAATAAATTGGCCAACGAAGAAATCTTTCGGAATTATTGACTTTATTATTTTTAATAATTTTTATTTTATTCTGAGTCAACATTTTCCGTAAGTTTTGTGAATTTTGCCGAATTTAGAATAACTTAGAACTTTACTGTTTAATTTTTGAAAATGTTTTATTCTTAAGTACTTGATAAGTGTGCTCTGTGGATTTTTGAAACCACAAAGTTTTCTCAAAAGAAATTTTAAATATTTTTTTTTTGTACAGATTTGAAATCGGGTAGATTTAAGGAATATGGACATATGTTAAATTATATAGTGGGTTAAAAAACTTTTGACTACAAATACCACTACTTATCAAATTAATTTAGTAACATTTCGGGCCTGCCTTGAGTATTAAAAAAACTTGTAAATTATAGGTTCATAAATGGTATATTAAAATTGTATTATCTATTAACCCTTTTTGTCACAGAATATTGTCACAGAATATTAAGTTTTAAATAAAAAATTGTTTAAATTATATGTTTACAATTTTTTACGTTTTATTTTATGTAAACATATAAATGTTACTAATTATATACCGAGTTTTTGCGTCATGTGCAATTTCGTTCTACCGCCTTTCAAAAATATCTCAGAACTATAATTTATATTTTTTTAAAGTGGTTGATTTTATCAGATACTGATGAAACAGTGTTGTTGTTGGGAAACCCGCAATGAAACATGGGAAAAACTTGGTTTTAGAGAGATTTGCTGAAATCTTAGTACTTTTTTCTCATGTATGTATATTTATGCTACAAATTATTTATTCAACAATTATTGTCCTACTTCAATTTTTAGTATAATACATACCTACGTTTCAATTCGCTTTATTCACGCTTACTTTAGATTAATATATTTTTTTAATAGAGAGTTACCATGTTTGAGTTTCAAAAGAAAGTCTGTATATAATACACTTATAATAGATTTTGATAAAATTTTTATTTCAGGATTTTATTTGGTCTTTACAATTAGGTATGCAATACAACCGAATTCAAATATTCTACACGGGGCACATGTAACTATTATCTTTTTCGATAACTTTTCGATAATAGCTCGTCGATAACTAATTTGATAGTTATGTTCAAAGCTTCGAGAATTTAAGAATTAAGAACAGAATTCTTTGCATAACCCCATAACAACCTCTAGGATAACGTGTTCGGGTTATGGAGTCCATTTGTTAAAATCACATATCTTTTATACCTTCTGCTCAAAAAGTACCCGGATTTTGTAAATAAAACACATAAATTTAAATTTTATTCCAAATTTATTTTATCTCCAAAATATGCTCCTTCTGAGGCGATACACGTATGCCAACGCTTAACCCAATCTTCCATACACTTTTCGTAGACCCGTGCAGGTATGGCTTTTAGTTCCTTCGGCGAATTCTCTTTTACCGATTCAATCGACTCAAAACGCTTACCACGAAGGAGCAATTTGAGTTTCGGGAACAGGAAAAAGTCGCACGGCGCCAGATCTGGTGAATATGGTGCCTGAGCGATGACAGTGGTGCCGTGTTTGGTTAAAAAATCGCGTAAAACAAGAATTTTCCATAGTAAAAATCTCTAAATGCACTTGAGTTAATCTCACATTAACAGCTGTTGTAAACAAACTAATTGACAGATGGTGTTCAAATTTGTACCATATGTCAAGAAAGGATGTACCAACACAACAAAAATTTTTTGAAAAAGGTCTATTACTTAAGGAGTAGTTAACAAACAACAAAAAAAGATACTTTTTGAGCAGAAGGTATATATATTCATATCCAAAAAAGTTGATCACTACTCCATCTTTGAAATTATATTAAATAAAAGTGGCCTGAAAGACCGAAAGAGTCTTACCATATTAGAACCATTAATTAAATTACAGTTTATAATATCCTTTCCGAAAATTATTTTAGATATAAATCATTTGACAACCGCTGAATTGGTTGAAGTAGTGGAAACTTACACAAAAATGATGACCGAATTTTTATCAGGATAGGGGCTCATTTTTCACTTGTTGGGTATGTTAATAAATAAAACTGTTGTCTGGGCCAAATTGTAATATTTGGAAGGTAAAAATTCGCAAGTAACACTCGAAAGATTATTGTGTCTACAAAAAAATGAATGTGTGATATAGCACTTGAACTGTTGATGTGATTGGCTCATATTCTTAAAATAAAAAGCATAGTATAAGAGTTATTTGTGTGAGGAAAAATAATATGCACATGATAATAATTATTTCTGAAAAATATGATATGAAGTAAACATACTTATTATTTTTTGACTTTTATTTTAAAATGCGAATAATAAGAGTTATAAGATGATTTTTATTTTTTAATAAATAAAAATAAATAGATATTAATAATAAATAATATTTTTAAATTATTGTCATAGCCATCATACTGGTCATCATCCAAAAATGTTCTGGAATGCAAGGAAGCTGCAGCCAGACTAGCTTGCAACCACAGACTTTGTATGTACTGGATTCCTGGTCATAAAAGCATAGAGGGAAATAAGACAGCTGATTTTATTGCTAAAAATGGCGCAAAACTTTCAGAAGAAGAAACGAGCGAAGTACTCAGACCTCTAAAACAAATAAATAAACTTCTGTACGAGCACATGACAAGGAGAGCAAAGGAAAGGTGACGAAATTTAACCACCTTTAGAATAGCAAGGATCATGTGTTAACATATATACGAGGAAAAGAACACCAAGGATGTTATATCGTCTAGCCGAAGAAACTGTAGAACATTAATTAGTGTATTGACATGTCACTGTCTTGTCGCATCACATGCGCACAAACTAAAACTAATTCACAGCGATGTTTATAAAAAATGTTGAATGCTAAGGAAACTCTAAATCATCTGCTGTGTAACTGTCCGACTCTCTTGAGGACTCGACAAAAATACTTGGGGGCTGTCAGTTTTACCGTACTGGAGCACATACCTGACGTTTCTGTTGAAATCCTAATAAAATTCAACGTTCATCCTAAGTGATGCACACAATCGCTCTGATCTAACGCTCTAATCTGATAATGTTGCGCCTTTTCCGAGTTAGTGCATCTGGGCACTGGGTTTCTGCAGAGTCCCACCCATCTCACTGACTAATTTGAGTATTCTTCATAATCTTTTTGATTATTCAAAGACTGTTCTAAATTTTGCGTTCCGCCCCGTGCGGTTAGTCATTACTCTGAGTTGAGATAGTGCTAAGTAGGACAGCCTGTCGGTATCGCAATGGACCTTAATGGTCTACGCGTTGCCTTTTTGGACTGCCAGCATAACCTAATACCTAATTGAAAGAAATAATTATTATATTTTATATATTTTATTTAGTAAAAATTCAGGAAAAATGAAGTCATTAAAATTGTTCAAACAAAAATATATCATATGATGAATTTATTTAAAGGATAACAAAATGTTATTGAATTACATATACATGTATGTAGTTATATCTTTCTATTTAATATTATCTGAAGCTTAAATGTATTTAAATGTATTTACTTTGTTATATTAGTACATACAGAGCTATTATAAATGATACTAAATAAAATATAAAATACCATTTCAATTAAACAATTTATGCAACATTACGGCAGCTGGAGGCAGAAAGTCAAATATATTTTGTGAAATCTCTATTTAAATAAAATTTATAATTTGAAATGATTGAATTTGCAAAACACACCAATATTTATTTAATGCATTTAATTTGATATTTACTAAAGGATTTGATTTTATTTAATTTGGAGTTTGCTCTGTTTCCGTAATTCATTTGAGAAGATTCTCCTTTGAAGGATAACATTTTTTGACATAATAAATGTTAGTTTTTCCTCTTCTATTTATTTACACTTCCATCTGAAATATTTTGACATTTTCTATAAAATCTTATTTTGCTTAAATTCTTTGAAATGCTGAGATACATATTTACTTTGTACAATACGGAATCAAATGATATAGGACTTAATAATTGTGTTCGTAATTGCATATATAGGAAAAAGTTCAGCTGCAAAGTATTTAATTTTGTTGATTTATTTGTTTGAAAATATTTTTGTTAATATGAGAAATTGAATATAGATTTGCCTGAGGTAGCAATTAAAAAGTTGAAATGTTTCGCAATGTAAAGTACATATTCAATTTTAGATAGTATTTGAATTCGATTCAACAAAATATAGCCATAACAGCATTCGATACTACAAATATTTTACAAAATACTAAGAAATCATTCCCTTTATTTAAAAAGCAGAAAATAATTTACTTTTAAAATAAAATAAAGTAAAAGGAAAAGCTTAAAATTTATTCATTTAGAATTTATACATAAATATATACGAGGGTGGTTTGATAAGTCAGCGACTCTTTGAATTTCCCGCGCAGTTACTACAAATGCAACAGTGCTGCCGTCAGCTGTAATCTACCAGTGGGCAACTTTCTAATTTTGAGCAAGCTACGTCGTTCAGTTGGCTTTTGATAGCCGTGCAAAGCAGATAACCTCGTGAATTTTAATGAAAATGGAAAAAAGTCTCCACTGCAGTACAGCAAGCATGAATGAAGCAATCAAGCAAAAGTGCCCAGAATTGACCAACAGGAAAGGAGTTGTGTTCCATATTGATAATGCCCGACTGCACATATAGGCCGGTTCTTGCCGTATGGAAACTGTTTCTATTAGTGTCTGCAAAACATTCTTAACGTTAAAATATTGGTCAGTCGAACAGTGGATGAAAATCATTTGGCCAAATTTTTCACCGATCAATCACACAATCCATTTAGCAAAAGAAATG